GCCACTTCTGCCAACAGTTAGGCAGAAGTTTAATGTCTATGTTGTGTTACAAAGACGTCTGAAAATGTGACCTGAAGGCTGGCAACATCAACCCTGACAGGTGGCAAAGCCTTGTAGTGCCGGGAGACTGCAGTGCCTGGAGACAGACAGTCAAGTTGTGTATCCATAGTAGTGACCAGAGGAGGAATGATTGCTGGGAGGAACGCAGAGAGAGGGGGCTCCATGGCGCATTTGCAGCCCAAATGGATGCCTTCATCTACCCCAGCTGCAATGAAACATGTTTCTCCCACATCTGTCTCTTCAGCCACAGCAGGAGCTGCAACCGTCGCAACAGCTTGACTTCATCCCCAAAGGCACACACCTTGTTTGTCTCCCGAGACAGACAGATGCCAACAGTGTCTATGTAAGTGAAGCTAGCTACAGTCCTGTGCACATTTGTTTTTTGAATAAGTCTTATGTATGACAATTGCAAGTAATCATGTTTAGGACTAGGGTGATTTTTCCAAAGAGCCTCATATCCTAATGCATTAGGCTTCACCATTAAAACGTGCATTCAGATTTATGTTCACACGCAAATCCAGTAACTGATGGAAGACTGTGTGTGAGATATATATATATTATTATATTAGACATATAAATCAGGTGATGCTTTTTAATTCTTAAATGACGGTGAAGAACTGTGTATCACACCAGAGACAGAGACAGATAAGTATATGTATGTAGAATATTCTACATTGCAATTCCCAACACTGGCTGCTAAAAACAAGCAGAACTTCCATACCACAACTGCTTTGGTTTCCCACAATCCTAATATTCATTCCACGTTTGCCAAACAACTACTTTCAATGGTTCGTACTATCAATTGCGAAAATCCTATGCAGTTTTATCTATAAACTAATATAATCTCCCCCCCCCTTTTTTTTTCTTGCTAATACCAGTTTTGAGACTTCCTGGGCTTGTTGTTATGTAGCCAAAACCTTACCTCACTTTAATACATGGGTAGTAACATCAGAGAGAAAAAGCTGAGGGGAAAAGTATACCCAAACAGTCCCCAAGTAACTAAATGGCATGAAATGTTGAGGGCTTGTTTGGCAGGAATAGAATGGGGTGGCTTGAAAAATAGGAAGAAGAGACACACAGCGAGAAATGGGTTAGAGAGACAGCCATCTCATTGTCTAGAGCAGGCATAGGCAAACTCGGCCCTCCAGATGTTTTGGGACTACAGTTCCCATCATCCCTGACCACTGGTCCTGCTAGCTAGGGATCATGAGCGCTGTAGGCCAAAAACATCTGGAGGGCTGAGTCTGCCTATGCCTGGTCTAGAGATGTCCTTTCCTGATTAAATAGGAAGCTATTTTAAGGGACCTCAGGGGGAGAACTGAGAGCTCCCATAAAAATCAAAGGAGATGTACCTATCCCACCCCTCCCAAAAATACCACCCCAAAGTAGTAGCAAAGAGAGGAGTACATACTCTTTCTAGTTCATTTCTTCCTTAGTGTGAAACTTAAACACACACGCATACACCTGCCAATGTGAATTCCAAAGCAAATGCAATTCTTTATCAATATTACAGATTTTAAGGAGCTGGGACTGGGACAGAGCGGCTTGTCCTACTCAGAGTAGACTTACTGCAGTTAATTGGGAATTAGTTTCAATGAGTCTACTCTGAGTTGGACTTAATTGAATGCAATCCGATGGTCCAGATTCAACTAGTTGTGCTAGTAAGAGTCTTACTAGGTTCCCCCCCTCTCTCATGTGCCCCTGTGCCCTGATTGGCTCTGGGAGGTTGGGAGAACCCCCCAGAAGGGGGGGGGAGGTCATTCTGTCTGGCAAGCAGAAATACATGTGCCGACGGAGAGATCGCCTTACCACTATTTTGAATTCTACCCGACATCGGTAACTTGCTCCTCACTGAGTCAATGCAATGTAGTAGAATGTCAACTATATTCCATCTCCTAAATAGTGTTCCATCTACTAAGAGGCACTCTTAATAGCACCATATGCCTCTGAACTTCATTTTATCTCCAGTATGACCAGGGCATTTTGAAATGATGCATTCCTTATGTATGTCACATACTGTATATATAATAGACCGCTGAAGAAGACCTGTGACCAAAATTATATTTGTTTAGTTATAGTTGGGCTGATCTGTTTTTATTTTTCTAATGAGTATTTAAAGGCTATGTCAGTTTTAATTTTTCATATCTGTATGATATAAAATTATTTTATATAGCTAGCTTATTCTCTTTTGTGGGATTTGTTCTGATCCCAATTTGTATGCAGTCATTTTTATGCTGTTCATTGCCATAATACTTTTTAAAAAATAAGTTGATAGCATAGATATTGTTTGCAAATAAATAAATCCCAAGCAATGTTGCATACCACATCTTTGCTGAAAGAGGAAACTGCAGTTCTTGTTTTAAACATCACCTCTGCAAAGGAGGTAAAACCAGAGTGGCACAATGATGTACACCACAAGTCTTGGGAATAGCAATGAAACACTGATTTATTCACTGTAGAAGAGGGCAATAAGAATAAAATAAGGGAAACGAATGGAAATGCAGGGATTGCAAGGAAAGCAGGGTAGAGACATGTATACATTTCTGAATGTTCTTTCATGGGCTGGTACACATGAGGATGTTCTGCTACAATCAAATTGGAATCATTCAAGACCGCTTCTGGGCTCACAGCCTAGCTAGGCCTCTGCAGTCATAGAGTCATAGAAGCTAATCCAACTCCCTGCAATGCAGGAAACTTTTTGCTCAACATGGGGCTCAAACCCACAACCCTGAGATTAAGAGTCTCATCTTCTACTAACTGAGCTATCCCAGGATAATGGTACTGCTTTATAAAACAAAGCACCCACAATGGAGGCTGGGGGTATATAAGGGTTTCTTCCAATGTCAATGACAGCAGTAGCCCCTACACCACTGATGTGGAGGTGCCAATTCAAACAAATGATGCCTTTGAGAGACCTGGCCCTGTTATGATCCTTGCTGCATAAAAGGTATTCTTCGGGGGTGGCATACGGTCCCCAAACCCTCTTTTTGGTTCAAAGTCCCTAGTGTCTCACAAGCAACTGAAAACAAAGCACCACTAATACAAGTACAAGTTTGAGTGATAACCTGGTTGTGATGGATTATATAATCCAAACATTTTCACTGCTTCTCAGAAATTGGGTGGGAGGAAGTGAATGCACACTGAGATGTCCCACAGGAGTGCCCTCCAAATTTGCTGGGATCACAAGTCATAGAAATTACACCATTTGTCTCTGATTACACATAAGATACTTAGGCAAGTGGCAGAGGCTAGAATCACAAAGACATTTTTGAAAAATAATTTTTACAAAGCCTACTGCTACTGCTAATAATAATAATTTATTATTTCTACCTCGCCCATCTGGCTGGGTTTCCCCAGCCACTCTAATAAGAGATATAGCATTAAAATGTGAACCCTTTATGAAATACAGTGTAGTCATTTTTTCAAATTTCATATCCTGCAAGTACATTTGTTTAGCATTTATACTGTCTGCCATAGTTGCATACTAGCAGTAACGACAATGTTTTCGATGCATTGGGATCCTTTAGGGCAGGGGTTTCCAAAATGCGGTCCATGGACCACCAGTGATCCACTAGCTTCATTCAGGCGGTCTGTGGCATGGCCGCATAAAATATCAGTATTGATTTTTAATTGTTGTTGCTTTTTGCTTCTTTTATTTCTTATATTGTATTTTATTACAGTTTGAATTCTATGGAATGGAAATGCTAATATAATAAAATACAATATGAGAAATAAAAGAAGCAAAAAAAAATAATAATACACAGAATCTAACACAGTGTATATTACAATTGCTACAAGAGACAGCAAAATCATTAAGTGGTCCACCAAGACCATTTTTGAGTGATTCTGGTGAAGGGAGGCTGGGAACCACTGCTTTATGGAACAGAGAGATAAAAAAGATTTTGTTGTTGTTGTTCAGATGTTAACCAATTTATAGGCTTTATTGACAAACTCATGAACACTCAGAGCACTCAGTAAATTAGCTCAATAGGATTTTAATTAGAGCTAAGTATTCAGTAATTCTGAATGTCTTAGCCCAAAATAGAAGAAAAAATAGTGTGTGCATGTCAGATTAGATCTCACACACATATGCATGGACAATAGATTTGAGTTTAGTGACTGCTTTGTTGACATAAAAAGCTGGGGAAAGTTTTCCATCTGCAGTATATGAGATCTTATTCCATTCCTTTCACAATGCTTTTGATAATGGACAGTTCTCAAGCTCCACTTAAGAGTGCTGTAAAACAAAACTGCCATTGCATTTCTAAATCAAAATGATCTCTGGCGCTCTCAAAAGTTCATAGGTGACAAGAAAAATGATGACCTTTCCTTGTATTTCTGTGGTCTGTCATCTTTTCCTCCACAAATCTCATTGAGCAGGGATGGGGAAACCCCTCCAGATGTTGCAATACAACTCATACCAGTAGATGACTTCCAATATAGTTCTGAAAATATTTAGGGCAAATCTGCTTTGTACCTAGACACAGTTACATGTCAGGTATGAAGAGTGCATGCAGGTTTCAAACATGCCTTTTACCTTTTTTTATATATATTTTATATCAGAGTGCAAATAATGTGCTTTCAAGTAGTGAAATACTGCACAATGCCACAAAAGAACCAGAGAGCTTCATAGGAGACACCAGGACTTCCGTGAGCAGGTATAACATGGTGATAGGGATTACTCTTACCTGCATGAAATTGCAGCTGCTGAACAAGCAGACACGTTTTCTGAACCTGTGAGCTCACTTCTCCTGCCGCCCAAAAAACATTTTTTTATAGTTTCAACCACACAGGTGCCAGCATGCATGCTGATGCACCCTCACCTCAATAGTCTTCTTGTTTCATAGTTAGGTGGGAATTTAAATCACAGGTTGAATTTGTAATGTTGAAATGGGTCAGTCTAGAAGAACTTTCCTACTGATCATCGAGAATTTTTAGTTCTCAAGGAAGACAGAGCATGTCCATTTGCTCCTAGTCCCTCATAACTCTATAGACAGAGAATTCCTTTCACATTATATCATTTTTGATCATGCAGCCATCCCTTCAAAGAATCTGCATTACCTCTCCCCAGTTTCTCTCATCTTCCACCATATGATCCAACCCCCTGAGCAACAGTTAGCCGGCTGGCAATGAGGATTAAAATGCCTAGTCCAGAGAAGAGAGACAAGTGTGTGATTGGATCCAATCATCATACAATTTAGCAACCAATGTATCTTGTAAGAAATGGATAAAAGATTTTGCCTCTATTCCCATGTACCAGTTGCAGGAACTAAACTTGATTTTCAGTTCAACAGAGTAAATGGACTTTACAAATAAAAATACATTGACTCAGAACAGGGCACGTTTTTGTGTACCTATGATTAGGCCACCTATTTGATGACTAAAATATCAGATTAGCCAGTCCCTGGGCACCACCATCTCTTGAATTCTAAAATTTAAAGGAGCTGGGCTTTAAGTCTGCCTGGACATCACAGGCTGAAAAAACAGCTTTGGCTTGGGGGTACAGCACATGCATAACATCCCAAAGGTCCCAGGGTCAATCTCTGATATCTCCAGGTAGGACTGTGAAAGACTGCTGTCTGAAACCTTGGAGAGTTTGCTGTCTCAACAACAGAGAGCCACAAAACCATTCCTGGATGGAGTGGGGAGCTAGGAACAAAAAGACCCCTAAACGAACAAAATAAGATAAGTTGGTATGGCCAACTCTTCTGAGTTGGGGATTTCTGAGCTACGGGTGCGGGTGATGTTGTTCAAGCTTTTGCTTTTCTCTGAGGGCTGGTGGGTGGGAGAATAGTTTTGCTTTTTGTTGCCGTGTTGTGATCATTGTTGTTATTTTTGTTTTGTTTTTAATAGATACATCCTGTATGGAATGTTAATTTGTATATGCATCCTCCCCTATTTTATAATGTATGTTATTTAGCATAAGTTGTTTGGAGACCTGTTTGGTGATGAGGGACTAACAAGTTAAATAAATAAATATAATTACCATACACATATTTGTTACGTAAATAGCAGGCAGAAGGTAGCTTTGGGGCCATGGAGGCAAAGGGGAGAGGGGACATTTAACTCTTTCTCTCCCTGCCACAGTTACTACTAAAAGCTGCTATTCACATTCCAGTGGAATTCTTCATTGGCGCCTGTGAGACTTCTCTTGAAATTCAAATAGCAGCTTTGGCAAGACAGTTTTTGGCAGGACCCTGGCAGAGAGAGGAAGAAATAAGCATCCTCTCTCTGAGTTATGGTTACGCTGCTGCTCGGGTTTTCAGCCATGCTTAGAATGCAAAACATTTCTTACTGAAAGAAGCATATCAGTACAATACCAATTTAGTAATCAGGCACTCAGATCTTAACCAAATTTACTAAAATAGTTATAAAGTTATGTTAATCTTATCCAGATTTAAAAATCCCATCCTTTATGGATTAGAGTCTGCAAATTTTCTTTCAACTTTACTTGTATTACACGAAAGTTAATCCATTACCTCCAGATTTTAAAAGAAGAAGAGAAGACTTGTGAAGATGATATGTGTGCTAAGCAGCCATTCAAATATTCCCAGGCAATACATAATATTGCACAGCACCTCATCAAACTTAATTATATTGTAACTAATAAATCATCAGCCCTTAATCTCTTCAGGAGAAGAAAATACACGTTTGCCCATCTCTTTTGTCAAAGGAAAGAGAACAAACAGGCCTGGGAGTGAGTGAAAAAGATAAATATGTGAATGAAGAAGAAATGGGGTATGGAACAATCGATAAAATAGGAAGGAAGGAAACAAAGAGGGAGAGGCAGAGAGGCAGAGAGGCACTGGGATTGTTTTAATGGCTGGATAAGTAATAGAAGAGAAAGAAGCCCAGATAGAAATGTAAGAGAGGAAGAAGAGATTCTGAGATAAGCAGGATATTAAGGTGACAGTGAAGGATGAAAGGGAAGACTGGATAAGGAACTTGCAGTCAAAGGGGCGTCCCACACACATCACTTCTACGCGGAGGCTGGTGCTCTGGAGGAAGCCAGAATAAAAGCTGAACACATCCAATTAGTCTTAGTAAAAGCGGAAGATTTCTCTGAGTGGGAGAAACAGGTAGATGTAATAGGTCTATAAGTGCACAAGGTATTATAAGCATATTTTCATATAGACCATTTAGATACAATTTAAGAGCTATTTTACAGTGCTAATGAGACTGCCTGCAAAAATACCTAATGGGCAGGTAGTAGGAAATCGCCTTCTGCCATCCCTAAAACATTTTCCAAAACACACTTACCTTTGGTTCTATGTAGACAATACAGTTCAATGTGCATATATTATATACAGTGCTACCTTGGTTCTCAGACTTAATCTGTTCCCAAAGTCTGTTCCAAAACCAAAGCTTTCCAAAATCAATCATTCAGTAGCTGAACTGGCATCCACACAGTCACAAAAACAAATTAACTGAAAAAGCCTCAAAACAAAAAACACAAAATAAATAGCAAAAACAAAAGCACCAAATATAAGCTCCAAATATCACCTCAGAACACTGCAATCAGAAACAAAAGGCTTGAAATACAATGGGGAGATGCAAATTAGCAGCGCAACAGGAAACACAGGGGGACTCAAAACGGAGCACGTACGGCTTCCGAAAAAAGTTCAAAAACCGGAACACCTACTTCCGGTTTTGCAGCATTTGGGTTCCAAGTTGTTCGTGAACTAAGCTGTTCGAAAACTGAGGTACCACTGTATACATAATGGTGGATATCCCAAGGCCAGTCAGGACATGGATGCACAGTTCTTTCGGGGGGGGGGGGTTAAAATAATGAGGCGCTGGTATGCATATCTGTATCAAAGTGCAACACAAAATGGTGATGGTACAGGTAACATCACAAAAATAAGCACTGGGGATGTACATCCCCTAGTTGTCAATAGACACAACCATCAACCTCAAAAAGGACTGCCACCTTCCATAGGAATGTGCCCATTTATTAAGATCTACATCTGGGGTGTCTCTCTAAATACACCTATTAACAAATGTGAGATAGCTAGAAATTGGGGGAAGGGCCTTTTCAGTGGCAGCACCCTGACTGCAGAGTGCTCTCCCTCAAACTGTTCACCTAGCATCAACCTTGATGAATAACCGTTTTCTGAATGACCATGGTCAGTGCTATTTTATTTATTATTTTTTTTAGAAAAATAGGTGCTGGAACCATGAATGCCTGCCTTGTTCTCCTATAATGGCAATGGCACCCTACTGAGAGGTGTTGGAACTGACTGGCCATGGTAAATTTCATATCCCTGCCTCCTCACTTTCTGCATTTTCTTTCTTTCTGACCTCACTGTTTACAATCCCTCCCCCCCCAAAAAAAAACCACCCATGTATCTGACAAAGTGGGCTGCAGTCCACAAAATAAGAAGTCATCATTATAATCATCTAATTAGTCTTTAAAGGTGCAACATAACTCACTGTTTCCCCCCAGCTGCAACAGAGTAACAAGCCTACCCCTCTGGAAACCATTTCAGTGACAAGCTTTCTCTCTTGGTTTTAAGGTTTTATCTTTTTTGTAAACCACTTTGAGGTTGTTTTTTTAAAATCAAGTGGTATATAAGTTTTAGGAAATAAATAAATAAAGTAGTGCCCCTTGCTTAGCTGACTATGTAATCGTGTTGTTCATATACTGCCTGTTTTATTCATGAAGTTGTATTGTTTTAATGTTGTTTCTCTCTCTGGGACTGTATGAGCCATGAACAGTGGATGATAAATATTTCAAATAATATCTCCGTAAATATCACCCTAATCCAGGGGTCAACAAACTTTTTCAGCAGGGGGCCGGTCCACTGTCCCTCAGACCTTGTGGGGAGCCAGACTATATTTTGAAGGGAAAAAATGATGCAAGAGCACCATGAGCCCCGGTGGCTGCTTACCTGTGTCTTGCGAGCAGCAGGGGTTGACAGCGGGGGCGGGGGCAAGATGATGAGCAGCACGCAAAAGGGCTCCGGAGAGTGGCTGCTTAAAATGGTGGCCACTCGACCGCTGCTGCTGCTGGGACCAACAAAGCCCAGGCCCCTTCCTCCTCTAGGCAGGGTGGGGAGAAGCCAGGAGGAGGGAGGGAGGAGCCGCCGCCGCCGCCATGTGAGGGAGAAGGAGAGGGAAAGAACGCATGCGCTGGCGATCCACGTGGTGATTCCCGAACTGTCCGCAGGCCGGATCCAGAAGGCAATTGGACCTGATCCCACGCCCTAATCATTTCTTGACCGTCATGTGATTAGATTTGCAGGACAAGGGAAGCATGGGTAAAAGTACTGCCCACACATGCTCATTACACTATCATTTGTCTCCAGCACCTTCCACACATTGGAGGGGCTAACCTCTGAACTAAGAAGCACAATCAGAGTTTCTAAATCATACAGGGAGCCAAGATGGCTACCACATGCTTCCTACTGCAAAAGTTATACCTCCAACAAGTGGAAAATGGCAGAGATGGGAAGTGGAGACATGGGCTTGTTCCCGCTTTCCCCCTCTTGTGATACTAATTTCATGGGGAGATAAACAACTGAATAGGGCTTATAAGAAGAAGCAAACTTAGTACAAAATCCCTCTAGGCCTAACAGTGCTTTCTTGCAGAAAGCATGTTAAACTCTAAACGTTCATTCTTGGGAACATTTCACAGCTTCACTCTGTTGTAGAATCCTAATGGAGCACATTCTATGCAATCTATTTTTTAAAAAAATAAAAAAATAAGGGCTACCTCAACTGTTGGGTACGACTAGCAATTAAAGATATCCTTGCCTAAAGCACCCTTCTGAATTCCATTTTTGTTGCTAGCCAACAGCAGCAGATGAAAACCATATCGTTTATCCTCTGCTAAGTGTATCTCAAACACATCAATAGGGGATTTTTTTGGGGGGGGAGGGGGTAACACAACCAACTTTTATTTAACACAAGAATACCTACAACATCAAAGCTATGCATGCCTAATTTTTAAAGACATTCTTTTTATAAAAAAGCAGGTAAAAATTCTACAACTACTAATAAAAATTTTAAAAAACCACAAAACAAAAGCTTAGCTATACTGTCCGATTTGATGTCTTTTTTATGCTGCCTTAGTGATGGCCAAATAATTGGTTGTTCACTTGTGTCCTTGTCTCCCCCGACAGTTCCACAGATGCCCTGAACAATGCTCCAAAGACTGCTTTCAGTAGGGGCAAATCCTCATTAATCATTCCTGGCTGACAGCACAAGGGAACACCTGCATCTGGTGCAGACACCAAGCAATGGCTTATGGGAGCATGCATATATAAAAAAACCTCCAACCAATTCAAGTTGTGGGAGTAGATGTCTAATAGCCATTTGAAAACCCATCTCCCCTCCTCCAGCCGCCTTCCATCCCCTTCTCTCTCTCTCTCTCTCTCTCTCTCTCTCTCTCTCTGGGTTTTCCTTTCATTAAACATCTAAAATTAGACCTGTGGCTCATGTTGAAACTAAAACACCAATGTATCCCAAGGAAGTACATCAGGAAATGAGCAGTGCAGCGTGTTATGATAAATGACTGCTAAATTCTTTATGCCTAGATCAAGCAATGATAGCATTAAATACTGATGAAGTGTCACATAATTTTCATTTGGAAGTGATAGTGCTTTGCGCTTCATCTCCTATGGAGTTTATAAATATTTCCCCCTGCAATATATTATTTCATAAACAGCATGTGCTTCTTCTCTCTATAGGTATACATGGGTTTGGTTTGGTTTTTAAGCACAACTTTGCCCACTGCATTAAAAGGGAGAAGCATGCTTGTATGTACTGTGTAAGATACTCCTGCTTTGCAAAATGTGGTGATGCTTATGCAACTGGGTATGATTTAGTCAGGGTTTTAAACTTGTCCCTACAAACATAATTTGGTCAAGGGATCCTGTTAACACTGACTTCTGAACCCACAGAATTTGAATCTGCTGCTGACCTTGGGAACATAGCTGTTATTTTCCCATCCCAGATGACTTGCAAAAAGTATGGTGCATGGGGAGGCTGGCTTTACAAGCCATGAGACACCATTCTAGTGCATCCAAGTGATCACAAACAGGCCTTTATTTTTCATACAAATATGTTTGCACTCCATCAAAGCACAAGGCTGATAAAGTATGTAAAGAGCTTGAAAAAAGGGGGGAAATCATGCTAGTGTCCTATAAGAGTTCTGTAACTGATATTCTGTTTTGGCAAAAACAACTAAGAGCCTTGGGGCACCATAAACACTACAGTGGTACCTCGGGTTAAGTACTTAATTCGTTCTGGAGGTCCGTACTTAACCTGAAACTGTTCTTAACCTGAAGCAGCACTTTAGCTAATGGGGCCTCCTGCTGCCCCGGAGCACAATTTCTCTTCTCACACTGAAGCAAAGTTCTTAACCTGAAGCACTATTTCTGGGTTAGCGGAGTCTGTAACCTGAAGCGTATGTAACCTGAAGCGTATGTAACCCGATGTAAAGGTAAAGGTACCCCTGCCCGTACGGGCCAGTCTTGACAGACTCTAGGGTTGTGCGCTCATCTCACTCTAGAGGCCGGGAGCCAGCGCTGTCCGCAGACACTTCCGGGTCACGTGGCCAGCGTGACGATGCTGCTCCGGTGAACCAGCACCAGAGCAGCACACGGAAACGCCGTTTACCTTCCCGCTATAAAGCGGTACCTATTTATCTACTTGCACTTAAGGGTGCTTTCGAACTGCTAGGTGGGCAGGAGCTGGGACCGAACGACGGGAGCTCACCCCGCCGTGGGGATTCGAACCGCCGACCATGCGATCGGCAAGTCCTAGGCGCTGAGGTTTTACCCACAGCGCTACCCACGTCCCTCTAACCCAAGGTACCACTGTAATAATAAATTTATCCTATGATTTCAGCAAAGACCTGAGAAAGCAGGATGCTAGAAGCATATCTGTCAACCTTCCCTTTTTTTGTGGGAAATTCCCTTATTCCAGCACCATTTCCTGCTGCTTCCTGCTTCTATCCCGGATTGTTAGATATCCCGTAGACTGTCCCCGGGACAGGTGAGGCTGCTGATCCCTTATTTTCAAATCTGAAAGTTGACAGCTATGGCTAGAAGGGCACACCTGCCACCTTCTAGTGGAGGAGATCGGGGCTGGCCTTGACATGAAGTAGTCACACTTGGCAGCAGATTCCAGAGAAGAAATCATTTTCTGCATCCATTGCTACAATATTCAGTGTGGTTCAGAAAGTGTCTCCCCACTTCCTGAGTCCCATTCTCAGACGGTGAGGTGGCACCATATTCACATTTGAGGGAGGGCAGGCAAAATTAAGAAGACTTTTAAACTTTCCCCACCAATCTACCTTCATCCTAGCTTTTGAGGGACGTGCAACTATGAACACTTCCATCTACCAACCCCAGAGATCCCATAGGGAATGAGGTGGTCTTTCAAGTATTTTGGCTCTGGTCCTGCCTATTGTTACCATATGGCCCTGAGCCAAT